GGGCGGGGGCGGAGGCAGCTTCTCCTTGATGGGAAACTTGAAGACCGCCCCTCTGCCTACCAAATTTCCCATCGTTTTCCACTGTGCAAGAGAACTTATTGGAAACGTTAGGCAGCAAATGTTGATATTTTCTTCCTACACCCACCGACCTGTCCCCTGCCCCTCCCCTTCAGCTGTCACCCTCTTCCCACATTAGCGGGTCTGAGGCTTCTGCTTCTGTTCTGTCCTCCCCACCCCACCCCACTCACCCCACCGCCGTCCCTGCTGTCTGCGACCTACAGCCTTTACGACACCTGCCACATAAGCCCATACAGTGCTGGGTGTGAAGTGAGGGTCCAGCTAGTTGGCTCCTAAGTCTACCCTGCAACCTGCACAAATAGGAAAGTGACGCATGAAAGAAATAAAGGCCCCCTCCCCGCCGGATGTCCGTTCTTTCAAGCCCAGGGCAGCCACGTGGCCTGGGGGCGGGCAGGGACCCCCAGCAGCGCCCAGCTCCCGTCGCCCCTGCGTGTCTTCCAGAGCCTCCTGTGGATGGTTGTCATTCTCACTGTGGAAATCACGGTCGCCACCTTGGTCCTTGCCTTCCTCCCGACTGTGAGTACAGCGCTGCGTCTCCCCTTCAGCGTTAGGAATAAACAGGCCGGTTTGGCTCTGTGGACTAAAGGGTCCCAGGTTCGATTCCGGTCAAGGGCACATGCCTGGGTTGTGGGCTCGATCCCCAGTGGGGGGCGTGCAGGAGGCAGCCGACCAATGATTCTCTCTCAAGACTCAACTGAAGCCCCCGACCCCACCCCACCCCACCCCAGGAGGGAGGCAGGGAGGTTCCGAGGAGGGAGACTGGGCCTTAAAGATGCCTTGAAAAGCCGAAAACCTCAGGCCTCCCCTCGAAGGCCCCAAGAAACTGGCCCAGTTCATCCGACCCCCTGTCCTGCTCTGGGTGGTGGGTGGTAAGGAGCAGTGGGAAATGCCGGACACATTGCTGGGCTTCGGAATATGTGGAAAACGGGGGGCTACTTGGCAAAATCCATCCAAATGACAAACAGATGCTTTGACCCCACCATCCCATTTTCACCCAAGGACCTGTGCGTCCGTGGGCAGAACGACATGCATACGGGGATGGCAAAACCCCCGGCCTAGGGAGCGCCACTGGAGGGGGCAGTTTATAACAACATCACAGGGCAGTCTGACGCAGGGGGAGGAAGGAAGGAGAAGGCCGTCCATGAACAAGATGGTACTTGCTTCAGGACACAGTGATGCCCTCATTTGTGTCCCCCCAGAGGCCAACTCGGAGACAAGAATGTGAAGGCTCCTGGTTTATTTGAGACGTGGCCCCAAGAAGCACCTGTAGGGACAGGGCAGGGAGGCAGGGAAGGGCATGCCGTTGGTAAAGGGTGACATTGTGGGCAGCTGTGTTTAGCCCTGCTGGGGGCTCCGGGGACCCGGTGCAGGACACACAGCTGCTTCTCCACGCGAGGGCCCAGGAAGCTGCAGTACTGCCCCCCACACCTCCCATCAGCCACGTGCATGCTGCTCCCTGGATGCCTGTGGCTGAGAGACCACAGGCAGCCCTTGGTCGCGGGCACAGTGAGCGCAGAAACGACAAAGGCCGCCGGGACACGAGCGGGGGACCGAGAGCCACGGCCTCCCCGGTTAACGACCAGCCAGGGCAGCCCGAGAGTCCTGCGAAGCCAGGAGGAAAGCCATTGGGGGCACTTGCTCTGACACACATAGGGTGTCTCTGCTGGGGACACAGGAAGCAGTGGCAGTCGCTGTGGAGGGGGAGGAACTTGTTGGCTGGGAGAAAAGGTGGGAGGAGACTTTTCCTGGTCTACCCGGCTGTGCTTTGCGAATTTTGAACCCTGTGGCTATGTCACCTCTTCAGGGGAAACGTTTAAAATTTAGACCTTTATTTAAACAGTAGAAAATTAAATGTGTTTCTTTTCTTGTGCACAGAGAGATGCAGTTGTGAGAGAGAGAGAGAGAGAGAGAGAGAGAGAGAGAGAGAGGGAGAGAGATTCAGTTGCTAACGATGATATTCAAGTCTTTAATAGACTTTCAGCCAAATGGGGTGGGAGGTGGGCAGATGGGTGGGCGGTTGGAAAGAGCAGATGATTCAAACTGGTTTGTGATGGAGACGACCAGATGCGCTCCCTGTGCCGGGCTGACGGGAGCCTGAATGTGCCACCCGCCAGCGCAGACCCACGGCCGAGGGGAGGGACCGTGAAGGAAGCAGAAGGGAAGCCCCCACCCCCTGGCTCTGTCCCCAAGAAACCTCACCAAATGGGGCGCCTTGCTGTTTTGTGTATTCACGGCTTCCCGTTTCCCCTTTGAGGCTCCGGAAGAATCTCTGGAATACAACTTTGTGAGCCTGAAGAAGAATTACAGGGGTTACAATGAGCCAGATGACTTCTCCACGGAATGGAACTTGGTCATGGAGAAGGTGAGAGTCCCATCTTTTTTTTAATGTGATAAAATATCTCTACATATAAAAGCCTAAGCTGCCATTAAGACTGGTCAACCGAATGACTGGTTGTTATGACGATGCACTGACCACTAGGGGGCAGATGCTCAATGCACAGCCAACCTCCCTCAGCTGGCCAATCTCCTGAGGTCCCCCACCTGGCTGGCTGGCTGGCCCCAATTGGCCCCGATCAGCCTCGATCGCCAGCCAGGCCAAGTGTCCCCCCCTCCCCATGCACAAATTCGTGCACTGGGCCTCTAGTACATAACATAAAATTTACCATCTCAACCATTTTTAAGTGGCATTAAGCACACTCACGTTGTTGTGCAGCCATCACCACCATCCAGCTCCAGAACTTTCTCATCTTCCCAACCTGAAACTCTGTCCCCATTAAACACTCACTTCCCATTCTCCCCTTCCCCAGCCCGGGTACCCACCATCCACTTTCTGTCTCTCTTAATCTGACTCCTCATATAAGTGGAATCACACATGTTATAGCATGGGTCAGAATTTCCTTCCTTTTTAAGGCTGAAAAAGATTTCATTGTATGGATACAGCACCGTTTGTTTACCCATCATCCATCAGTGGACACTTGAGCTGTTCCCACCTTTGGGCTGTTGTGAAAAAATGCCACTATGAACATGGGTGTGCAAATCCTTCTTGGGTGTTTGAAAACCTCTTTCAATTATTTTTTTAAATATATTTTTATTTATTTTCCTCCTCAAAAGCTAGTGCTACAGCCTGGCCAGCATGGCTCAGTGGTTAAGCATCAACCCATGAACTAGGTATAGCGGTCGGCAATCTGCGGCTCGTGAGCCACATGCGGCTCTTTGGCTCCTTGAGTGTGGCTCTTCCACAAAATACCACAT